AATAACTATCCCTTCAGCTAACATAGCCTTATTTTTTCCTGTCAGCTTTGTTTTAGCTTGCAGCTTTATCATAACCTTGTCATTTATTTCATATAATGTAGAAGTATGCTTTGCTATATCTCGATGCAACATTGTGCTGCTTCAAAACTTGTTTAACTGGCTTTTCCATGAATTGCATTTGCCAAATCTAATCAATTAGAAAAAGCTTGCTTATTTTCAAGTGTTGGAAACTTATTTTGTAGATTCCACTTGAGATATAAAAAAGATATTAAAAAAAACCTGCAATGGACACACTAGTGATTGATCATGTGAAAAAAACAAACACTTACACAGACAGATCATAGAGACATCATTCACAGATGTAAGATTTTTAAAACAAATGGTGATCAGAGTAAGCTCCCTTGAAAAGCATGTGCAATGACATTGGTAATCTTGCTGTCAAAATAATCAAACAAAACATCTACACATATATATTTTCATTGAGAATGTGCCAATTAAACTAAAGTTAATATATATACATGTAGCTAACGAAAGACAAATTGTTCATACAACTTACTTCATCTGATTCTTTAACATCGGGCTGTCAAACATACTGATTACTGTATTTGGTCTTGCAAAAAAAGCTTCAAACGGAGTCATTTCTGAAAATACACAATATTAGTCTTTATAACAGAATTACCAGGTGAGAACACAAAATGTGTTCCCACTAGAGATGCTGGAATGGACATTTGTAGAAATGGATAAAAAAAATTATAATTAAATAATAAATCATGTTTAAAAAAAAAAAGATTCTCAGTCTGGCTACAGTCTGTTTTTCCAACTTCTGTAGAAGTGAAACTGCACCACTAAACGGCAGACAATGAGGTGAAGCCATGCAAATGCAATGCACTGAATACCATAAAAACTCACTGTTGTAAAATTATTCCTTTTTACATTTAAAGTCAGGATTACATCAATGAATGAATAAAACAAACATTTAATTGTACAACACGCTTTTCTTCTTCTATTTCTTTCGCCATAGATGATTTAACTTTCACATAATTTCACTACATGTATTCATACAGAGCATTACAAAAACATAAACCGCCTGAAAATTGGACACTTAATATGAGTACCTACTTAACCACATCAAATTACCAAGAAAGTAAAAATCAACCGGTTTTCTGGACCCATTATTATGGAATATGAATGAGCAGAGCAATTTCAAGACAGTTTAGATAATTGTATGAACTGTTCATTTAATAACTAGTTAATAATTAAAAAACGCACAGGAAGAACTCCTGTATGCTGAGAGTATTGGAGGCATTTGAAGTAAAAATATAGAGTATTTAAAATTCACAATTTATGATTGTGGTTTGTTAGTGTGATTAATTCCAACAAGTTTAATTAAAATCAGATTTTATTGAGATATGAAGATTACCGTACCTTTGCAAATTAGGTAATTAATGAGCATTAACTTTAATCAAAACTATTTGTGTCGTGTTGTCCAAAAACATTTATGTACAAAATTTCAATGAAATGCAAAGGTTCTCGAAATAATGGTGGGACAGACATACACACATAAGCAGGGTTACCGCAAAAACTTCCATTGCTTCACAAAATAATTGTTAAATTGGATGCAACCGAATGATGGAATAAATTACAATTTTCAAAATACATCAAAATAAAAAACACTATGCTAATAAATGCATCATCAAGATCTGGTTCCTGAGTGATTGAAAATATTTAATTATAAGAGGTGTGGACATAGTTTGGACGAAGGAAGCTACTAACACTAAACACTGTAATTGACCATATCCCAATAAATGGCATGCAAAATTGGCGACTAGACAGTCGAAAAACAGATCGGTAATGTGCATTATATAAATATTAACAACTTTATACTAAAATATGTATACAAGTATTCTTAAATTGTGCGGCAATCAATTCCAACAGAAAATAAGGGGACACTTTTGAAGTCAAGGACACCTTTGAAGTCTTAACACACGTGTATTGTACCATGGATGTACTACGAGTACGTCCATGATTATATATAATTCATTACAAAACGCATTAAACAAGTTAAATGACTACTGCTATAAATGAAATCTCCATGTTAATCTCACAAAAACAAAAGTAATAATTTTCAGAAAAGAATCAATGAAGAGCAGAGATGCATTTTATTACCAAGCTTGGTATCTCTATTCAATGTAATGGTAAATTGAATGAAACCAGAAAATATCTATCAGATAAAGCTATTTGAGCTATATATGTGTTATTGAATTCATCACCCAAAGAGGCTAACTGTAGAACATATCTACACTTATTTCAAGCATGTTTAAAGCCAATACTGTAATATGGTTGTGACGTTTGGGGTGGTGACATTTTGGAAAACTCAAAATGGGACAAAACAAGTATTGAACAAATACACATAAAATTTTGCAAAAGTTATTGGGGGTAAATAAGCTCTCTTCAAATGCAGCAAGTAGAGCTGAACTTTGTGAATTCCCACTGTTGATTGATATTAAGGGAAATCTTATAAAATACTGGTCTCCTATCAAAGAGCTTCCAGAACACAATCTCACAAAACAAGCCTTTCATGAACAGAAGAACTTAAACTTGCCATGGAGGAATTCTGTTGAAAAGTGATAAAAAAAAATATCTCGATGAATAACCAGTCAGACTTATCAGCCAGGGATATTAAACTTATTACCAACAACATCAAAGAAAAATTCATGGATTGGTGGAAAGTAACCATAAGCAACCAAAATGGCAAACTTCGGACATATGCAAAACTAAAACAAACATACACCCATGAAAAATATTTAGACACTCTTAATTTAAAACAAAAACATTGCATGTCCAGATTTAGAATTATCAACCATCCATTAGCAATAGAGAAAGGTGGACATGCTCAACCAAAGACACCCCTAGAAAACAGATTATGTATACATTGTTCAGAGAACAAAATAGAAAATGAGGTACATTTTTTTCATGGAATGTCCAAAATATTACAATAACAGGCAAAAACTATTGAGAGATGTAATAATTCCAAACACAGCCCACAACATTAATCAGAAATTTATATACCTGATGAGTTGCAATGATGTTGAAATTATAAGACAAGTGGGTGAATATGTATATGCCACATTTGACATTAGAACAGAACATCCAATTAAAAGATAATTCTTACTTTTATCACTTTTTTTCTTTCTTTTGTGTATTTTTCATTTTTTCATGTATTTCATTGTTATTGCTTTTAACTGATGAAAATTCATTTCAAGGATGCAATAACTTTAGTTATTATTATTATTATTATTATTATTATTATTATTATTATTATTATTATTATTATTATTATTATTATTATTATTAAACATAATTCATAATTCGCGTGAGATCTTCATCATCGCCATTCACACACTTGCAATACCATCATGATCTTCAGCTCAGTAGGTAAACAGAGTTTGAAAACATCGTTTGAAAATCACTCAAAATCCGGCGCTGATCCACGTATTATTTTAACAACCGTTTGTTTGTGTCAGCGACAACTCAACGTAGCTCTAAACTGAGTCACATTCATTTAAATTAACGGCAGTTTTGTACAAGTTCGTGCTCGTCACACTTTCCCTATTTTGATTGGCTGATGACTCACTAGGTCAAGGGTCATTAAATTCTCGCTTTTTGACAACATTGAAAGGAACAACTACAAGTCATTTATCACACGACATTGCTACCTTGTACGACCGAATATCGGGCTTTAGCACTGCCATTGACGATCGAAGAATTAGCTTTGTAATATCAGGACAACAAAGAAGACACGGTGAAAAAAATCGACTCAATTTAGAGGGCGCTGTGCTCAATTGTGCTTACAATGAGCAAAACAAAGGTGAAAAATCGTTGTTACTCTATCGCTATTATTGCCTGCTAACCGTATACATTTTGGGTGTTCATGCGATCACAAAGATTCTGTATTTTAGTATGATGGTCAATATTTTGTCTTCCACCATGTTTTAGCCCGATAACTCAGGTAAATGCCACTCTTTTGGAGATTCACTGTTATAAAATGATCGTCTGTTCGATTCAATTTCAGCCAGAAAAGGTCATCGACCGTATTACTATGTCATTCATTCGTTACCGGGGTCCGCATATCATTAATTATCTCGTATTGTGTTATCACAGTAAAACGCAGTTGCGTATGTCCTCGTTGCCATTAATGTTAATTACAATATTATGTTAATTTTAGTGTCATATCCATTTTTCGAATGCTAGAATGGAAATTGGAACGACCTCATTCTTATTTTAGTTGCGCCTATATGCACAGCAATGTAGCTATTAAACCTGTACATTGTATTATACTATACTGTGTTATGTTTATATAATTCAGACAGATATATGTATTATTGTAACAGAGGGTATCATAATTGTATTGCTAGTGCTACTGTAAAACATGTTTAAATAGCTACATGCCATTTTAGCGAATATGACTCCATACATGAATTAACGGAATCTTAATTTAGCTAATGTGTTAATAATCTCATTGTGAGAATATACTTTATTTTAAATTAGTGACATCTTGAATTAGCGAAATTACAGATTAGCTAAATTAGCTAAAATAAAATGCAAGCTAAAAAGACGTGTTTTACAGTAAACAGGTACTGGTATCACCGTTTTGCACACAGCCATTGTCCTAGAATTAACAAGCTAGGTTTGAACATGGAAGGTACTAACAGTTGCTAATAATTAAAACATGCGAAATACGGGAAGTCAAACATTCATCTGTTGAATTTCCGGCTGTGAAATACGTATTTTGACCTTTCACACCTAAACAAACCAAGTATGCATGTGTGATGACCGTAGTTTCATGATGCGCATACATTTTATGGTCACATTTAAAAATCGGCAAGGTTGTATCATATTCCGCTAACTCTTTACTTGTGTAAACAATCGCAAACTATCATCGACATCAAAGATGAGCAAGACAATGTCCTCATCAGAATTAACTTGGGTTGAAACAAAAGAAAATAAGCCTGTTAAAAAGCTTAAGTGGCCACCTGAGAAGCGTCGTGGCTCCTTTCGTTAGTACCTTCCATGGTTTGAGGATGTAATCAGTAATGATGCTCTCAGAGCCAATGTAGTTTAGTGCGATCATGGAACTATATGTAATTGTATCTGTAGTTCCATGGTAGGATCACAGTACAATCTTATATAAGCCTTCTGGGACGTGATCAGAGCTACATGCATGCTTGCTCTTGCTTAATCAGGATATGAAAATAAAATTGATTTGCCAATTACATCTAGTAATTTTTCTAATTTCTGAGACTGTGGTTACATTTATGTAAATATTTTTATATTCTTGGGGAGCAGCGATTTTTTACCAAACCGAAAAGTCCCGGGCCTAACGTCGCAGTTCAAAATTAAGTTACAAAACGATTGAAACTCGATGTAGATAAAGGTTCCCAAGGAAAAGTACTTTAAATTATTTTTTATTATAAATTTATTTATTTATGAATCAGTGAAAATAAAATCCAATAAAATTACCTTTTTTTCTATAATTTACATTTAATTCATCCAAAATCTGTGAAAATGAAATTCATAAAAACAACCAAGATGTCTTTTCACCAAAAAATTATTATTTTAAAGTATACCCCTGTATATTGTTTTAAACTACTATATATCAGCAATTCTATTTTCCAGTGTATCAGTATCATGAACACGTTATGATTGGACGAGACAAGATTTATGTGAACTGTGGTTAAAAATAGACATGACTGATACAAATAATAAAAACATTGTTTAAATATTAGATGTCATCATTTGAAGCGTAAAGAAAGCAGTATACTGGTACTGTTATCCTAGCTGGATCAACAGTTTTTACATTTTACTGTTTTATGTGGTGCAACAATAATTTCCACATATTTTTTGGGGGTTACTGCCTACTAATGAACAATTCCCCACCTGATACAGATATTGATGTGTACATAGGGTTGTACAAGTAAGATTTATCAGACGGTGTTCTCTACGTGCTGGCTTTCTTCTGTTTTATGCTGGAAAAATGAACTAAAATGATGAATAAAAGGGGAAATCATTTTATTGAAAAAAAAAAAGGCGAATCCAGTATAATATACTGTTGCCTGCATTGGTTGATACAGTGAGCATCACGGCTGTTAATAAATTCACTGTTCCTGTGTGATGTAAAATGGAAAAACTTTTATTCTTTCTCTACAGGAATATGTTCGTGTAAAATTGTAGCTATTTCTGTTCCATAGCTTTGTATTAAAGTAATACAATCGTGATAGGTGGGATCCATGTGACAACTACAATGCATGTAACTTAATTGTTTGTTTTACTAAATTTAAATGAGCACAGCATGATGAATTTGCTGCTTTTGTTATCACCTCCAACACCATTTTATCTTAAAGTGCTCACTTCAATATGGTTTGTAAATTTGGAATTTGTTCTGAGAAATCCAGGAGATCATTCTCCTTATTGCACACAAAAATTATCAAATTATTGATGTTTATTTTTAGGACAAAGCTGAGAGTGAGCACGCTGTACATCCACCGCCACCGAAGCGTACCCGAGGAGCCGGACCGGGAGGTGATAACGAAACCATGAAAGACAAGTGTGCAGTAGTAGAACATGGCACACCGTTAGATCTCACGCTTACGAAAAACTCAAACCACGGTGGAAACTCTGAGACGCAGCTTTCTAGGACAGATACCGAGAAAACAGCGATATTGCTTTCAAGGACAGACACAGATACCTCAGCAATGGACATATCTATTCTATCATCTCAAGAATCATTCATGCAAATATCGCAACAGAGCATCCCTCGACTTGACCCCAGCTCTGAAGAAGAAAGCGACTCAGAAGAATCTGAAACAAGTTCTGTTAAAATTAATTTAACGCAAGCGACAACCAAGGACTTAGAAGCTGAGGAGACATTGTTAAAACCGAACATTGATAGGTTTGTCGTTTTCCCAATAAAATATCAGGATATTTGGAAATATTATAAAAAAGCCCAAGGTGAGTACCGGTAATACATGCTTAAAATGATAAACGGGGAGGAGTAAACGAGTCCCTCCCTGATCTAGCAATTTTTTAGTTCTCCCTTTTGATGAACAAACGGATCCAACAGCCCTTGTAATCTGATAAAAGAGGCCCTCCAACTTATTGACAAATATGTGCATGCTAGTCATATTATTATTCTGTTCTCCACCAACTTATAAGGTTAATTTTTTATATTAATATTATTTTGTTTTCCACCAACTTATATTGTTATAATTTTTTTCTTCTCACTTGACAGCATCGTTTTGGACAGTAGAGGAGGTGGACCTTGGTAAAGATTTGCCAGACTGGGTAAAACTAAAAGTAAGTAATATCTACTGAATGTGAGAAATAAGTTTGCGAGAAAATTAATAAGTGAGAAATCAGTTTGTGAGAAATTGTAAGATTTACATATATCACATGTGAAATCAGTTTGTGAGAAATTGTAAGATTTACATATATCACATGTGAAATCAGTTTGTGAGAAATTGGAAGATTTACATATATCACATGTGAAATCAGTTTGTGAGAAATTGTAAGCTTTACATATATCACATGAGAAATCAGTTTGTGAGAAATTGTAAGATTTACATATATATCACATGTGAAATCAGTTTGTGAGAAAATGTAAGATTTACATATATCACATGTGAAATCAGTTTGTGAGAAATTGTAAGATTTACATATATCACATGAGAAATCAGTTTGTGAGGAATTGTAAGATTTACATATGTCACATGTGAAATCAGTTTGTGAAGAAATTGTAAGATTTACATATATATCACATGTGAAATCAGTTTGTGAGAAATTGTAAGTTATACATATATCACATGAGAAATCAGTTGTGAGAAATTGTAAGATTTACATATATCACATGAGAAATCAGTTTGTGAGAAATTGTAAGATTTACATATATCACATGAGAAATCAGTTTGTGAGAAATTGTAAGATTTACATATATCACATGTGAAATCAGTTTGTGAGAAATTGTAAGATTTACATATATATCACATGTGAAATCAGTTTGTGAGAAATTGGAAGATATACATATTTCACATGAGAAATCAGTTGTGAGAAATTGTAAGATTTACATATATATCACATGTGAAATCAGTTTGTGAGAAATTGTAAGATATTCATATATCACATGAGAAATCAGTTGTGAGAAATTGTAAGATTTACATATATCACATGTGAAATCAGTTTGTGAGAAATTGTAAGATTTACATATATCACATGTGAAATCAGTTTGTGAGAAATTGTAAGATTTACATATATCACATGTGAAATCAGTTTGTGAGAAATTGTAAGATTTACATATATCACATGAAAAATCAGTTTGAGAGAATTTTACATGTAGCACATTCAACATCTATTCTGTTATTGTTTCTAGGAAGAAGAAAGACGCTTCATATCGCATGTATTAGCATTCTTTGCTGCCAGTGATGGTATAGTGCTTGAGAACCTGGTACAGAGGTTCAGTCAAGAAGTCCAAGTCGCTGAGGCACGGTGTTTCTATGGTTTCCAGATTGCAATGGAGGTACTGTCAACATCCCCATACACATATAGACTTAACAATCACTATTAGATTTGAAGGAATTTTTGTTTGTTTGTTTGTGGGGGTAGGGAGGGGGAGGGGCTGGGGATTCAAATTGTATTATGGGTCACTCTATTAAATTTTTCTTCTATGTTTGTACGTATTTTATCTTCTACGTTTATGAGATATAGACACTTGATAAAGACAGGCCATTGGTTGAGTGATATCTGTACGTTACATACTTAACGTGGGGGGAGTCGTCACCTGCGCATGGTTCAGATGGTCATAGCGTGTCACTGTTTACAAACAAGCGTCTACACATTTTGCATTTTTTGCATGTATTGTTATCAACGCTTGGTACTCAATTTCCGCGTGTGCGCAGGTGACTCTCCCGCTTCATTATACATGCAATCAAACCTGTGTTTAGTGACCACCCAAGGGACTTCATTAAAATAGGCACGTGGTCTTTATATAGAGGTCAGATTTTTTTTTTTATGAATCGCCAATTTATTACTTTTACATAATATTTATTCTGTTGCAAGAAAAAATACATTCCAGTTGGTCAAAATCGAATAAGTTTGACTTTGAAATTAAAAATTGTGTCATAAACAGAATGCTAATTATTGTTTTGGTTTTTGAACAAAAGACTATCTGCACAAGTACTCCGGTTATGCATATTTTATGCTATGGGACTGCATAAAATTGGTCACTATAAGCAGGTGGTTTTTATACAGAGGTGGTCACTAACACAGGTTTGACTTTAGTATATATACCGGTATTAAAGTTTATTTCATGAAGAGAGTTAAGTAGTAATTGTAACAGGTTATCTGTGCTTGGAATTGTTTGTTAAATGAGCTGATAATATTCAAAAAGAGTTGATACATTAATTTACATATTCCCTTAGAGAGTGTCATTGTTTTCCCTACTCTAAAAATGTACTTTTTAACGTTTTCAGAATGTGCATTCTGAAATGTACAGTTTACTGATCGACGCATACATCAAGGAACAAGAAGAAAAAACTCGACTGTTCCATGCAATAGACAATAGTAAGTGCTTAATGTATTGCTGTGATTGTATAGAATTTTATAATAATATGATGTTATTTTGAGGATACATCAAAGTATGCACGAAGACAGTACAGCAGGAATATTGGCCGACGTGCAATGGAGGTCGATGTGAAAGCGTACTGTGTTAGTGCATACTTTGAGGTATCCTCGTAATAACCTTATTATTATACATCTTTTCCTTCCAAGGATACATCATGGGAATGCCGAAAGCCAAAATGTTTAGAACAGAATCAGCGAACTTCTTTGTGTGGAGTCCGGTCAAACTCTGGTGGCAGCCATGTTTGTTTTTATTATTAGAGGACGCTTACACACGTAATCATTCCATATTTGGAATTTGCATTTCCTTATATGGTAGGATAAAAGTACCCCGTAAAATACCGCAAAATTGTGGCATGCTGTAACTTATGGCGTTACGGTGACAGATGTAGAATAATAATATTTATTGTTATCATATCCTCCTGTGCATCTTAATAAAATGGAACATTAAAGTAGATAAAAAAACAACAGAAAATATCAAATAAAGCAAATATTGTTCTCACTGTTCTCCTAATTTCTAAATATTCAAAATTCAAAGAAATTATCATAGTTACATGTATGGAGCATGACTTAAGGTAGCAACAGGGAAAATACGAGTCAAAATTAATCAGTGATTAAAACATTTTCTAAAAGTTACTAAGCATGTTACCATAACAACCAATGCATCTTAGCTTAGGTAGTGCAGATACCAAACCTATGTTTGCCTAGGTGGTTATCTAAAAGCCGATTTTGTAGGTTAAATAATTTTAAAGTGGTTTCATGCTTCGCAGAGAAAAGCACACATAAAATTTAATGAAAATATATATTTATTTTTTACTCAGTGCCTTGTGTTAAAAAAAAAGCTGATTGGGCTATAGAGTGGATCCAGTCGGAAGAGAGCAGTTTTGGTGAAAGACTTGTGGCATTTGCTGCAGTGGAAGGAATCTTCTTTTCAGGAGCTTTTGCATCAATATTCTGGTTCAAAAAAAGGTTAGTACTTATTTTTGCTATACTGTAGAATACTTTATTTTCGCTTGGAATTTATTTTCGCTATTTTCGATGAAGTGATGATTCCAAGAAAATAAAATCCAGCGAATATACTTTTTTTCCTATATTTCACATTAAACTCATCAAAAATCAGTGAAAATAAATTCCATACAAAATGCTCAAAAAGCCTTTTCAGCGAAAATTAATTCCAGCGAAAATAAAGTATTCCACAGTATTGATATCTATTCATATACATACTGTATTGTGTAGAATAACCACATTAATCCGTTCTCTGCTGATTCAACCAGGGTGTGTTATAACCATCATGAATTTCTTATTAAATTAATTAATAGGAATACTCAATAAAACTTCAAATTCCAGAGTTCATACCATCATGTAATTGGGGTGCCCGAATTGATAGCATTTGTGCGTTCAGCGTTTGTGCGCTTGCACATACATGTATTGCGTGACCTGGGGGTCAACAAGCCGGAAGGTAGGACAGATTTTGGACGTTCTGAAGCACACAGAGTTGCAGTGCACCGAACTGAAACTGAAACTGCCATCATCTTTCAACTAACTCATACCAGCCTTTGAAAATTTGCACACTGTTCTGCCTATTAAAGCAAGAATAACGAGCATGCAAATTATCTTTGGCTATAGCGTAATATTTTTTGTGAGAATTGTAAAACTATGTCACTGTCATATTTTACTCTGTTACACATACAAGAACCATCTCTATTTCAGACCATTTTCTCTAAAAAATCATCTTTTTCAACTGGAAATCCACATTTCTCAGCTGTCTTAAATAGTTCTTCTAGCTGCCCTCGTTTGTACCCACCCACATTCACTCTGCTATCTTTAAAAAACTGTTTAAAATATGCCGGTGCTCTTTTGACTTCTTATATTTTTGTCCTACCCTCGCCCTTCGCATGTAGGTTACGCATGTGCAAATAGAATTACATTGCATCTGATGGTAATTCGGAAATCAGGAATTTTGATTACTAAATATTATGAATATGTATGAAGACATGTTAGCAGAGGTTGATGCTATACTAGCTTTGTGGCATTCATATGGTACCCGGTAATCTTACTGTAAACGCATTAATTATTTGCTGGATTTTAATTCTGATATTTTAGCTGATAACTGAGTTTGCTAATCCATGTGAGCATGTACAATAACAATACCGGTACAACTCATTGTTTGCCTGCCAAGTTCATACACTTAAAACCCAGTGAAATACTGTGGAATACTTTATTTTCGCTGGAATTAATTTTCGCTGAAAAGGCTTTTTGGGTGTTTTGTGTGGAATTTATTTTCACTGATTTTTGACTCCCATGTGCGAAGCACAAAATGGGAGTCTTTGCAGTTAGTGTGTGTGG